ATACTGGGCCGCACGCCTATTCTTCTAAACAACGGTCTCGAAATGGGGCCGGCGGATGCAGAAGCACTGTTCAACGTAAGTGTCGACGTGGGAGTGCTACAACATTGACGATTAATCGTAGCTACGCAGCAGTCTCAGACTCAGTTCGGCTCACATGCGGTCGCCGTTGAACAAGACCCTCTGAAACTGCACGCCAAAGCGGCTGCGATCTACTGCTCTGCCACTCAGGTCTCGGCTCAGTTCACAAACGGTGAGCAGAACAATTTGTCCGGTCACCCGCGAGACACTGATCATTTGACACTCTCAGATGTGGCCGCTTATGTATTGGGTTCGACCGACCTCGACGACCGCATCATGCGGTTCCAGGCAGGGCTACAGACCCTCAACGCGATTCATCCTACCAGACAAGATCTGCTCAGCAGACTGCTCCTCGTCCACATGCTGGTCAATTGCGCGACCATACAGCTGCACAAGCCGCTCGACCTGCGAGGCAACGGGATAGCGTTAGATAGCCAGACCTTCGCAGCCGCGTGCGCCGCTGCAAACGCACTCAGTCAGATCAACGTTCGCGCGCTCACGTTCATCGACTCGTCCATCGGGGTAAGCGGCATCCTCGCATCCTTGCAACCGCCTGTCTTACATATGCATGTCTAGTTCCTACTGCTCTCCGTGGCGGATGTTCTTGTTGGCGGGCTGAGGCTTCTCAGGACAGACCCCGCCACGTCGATGCCCGCAACCGCGAACGAACAGAATATCTCCATCGCCCTTGCGCAGATACGCTTTGCCATGACGACTTGGGGCGAACGGAACGCGTACATCAGTACGTCTTTACTTGACTTACCCTTCCACATCAAGCATCTTATTTCTCAACCTCCACGCAGAATCACAGCAGCACCTCCTTCTCAGGGTGCTCGAGGTCGTCTGAGATCGTTTGATTTAACTTATGTACTACTTCCACGTTTCCTCGGCTATGTTGTATGGATGTGTGACTAGATCCCGACTGAAGCTTTCTGAGCGATCCGGTGGCTGTGAGTTTATGCTGTACTTGTACGAAGTGTATCGATATCTAGAGAGGGCGACATACTAACCCGCCCACAATCTATGCATACCACTTGTCTGAACAGTACCAGGTACTTGCTGAGCGCTGGACCATGACAGTGTGATAATCTATGTTTAAGTCGGAGGGTCTCAAAGGGTCCGCCAGCGTTCAACACCTTGCCGGGGAGACGTCGTACTGTATTATGAGGTCTATGAACAAATCCTACAGCAAGTTATCAATAACGGCAAGTCCATGTATATCATGTTGTAAAGTCCTCACAATCGGGCATTCAAACTGATGCAAGAACGGATTCGGAACGTATTGCTGCTTTAGTCCACATGGTCCAAGACCTCCCGCGCCCTTTTTACGTAGAGCTCAAACCGCTCCTCAAAACCTGTGCATATCCGTTCCGCGACACCGAGGCTCGACGGCACTTTATCGGCAGCGACGGCGATGGAGATCCCGCCAGCATACGAGATGATACCCATTCCGATTGTGCCTGTACGACGCCACGGCGAAAGCGTGGTCAATGCACATTACGAGCAAAGCAGTCTGGATAGACTCACCTTTACCGCCTTGAGGAGGGAGCACGGTCCATTTGAGCACTTCCTTGCCTTGCAAGGTGATCGTGCTGTTTGCGGGGCCAGGAACGCTGAATGCATCCGCGTTGTTAGCAGCCCCTCTGAGATGAGTTTCCGCATCTTACTTCGTCAGAACAACAGGGACTGTACAGACGTGAGTAAAGGTCGTCGAGCGGAGGCTACACAGGGCTTACATGATTGCAACAACGTATCATATATCGGCTTCATCAGCCATTTGTTACACAGCTCCTTGAGTTTCGGAATCGGTTCCGCCAGCAGGGATAGGTTGAGCAGTGCAGGAAACTGACCCGTCAACTGCAGGATATTGAAACACATCCTCGGAAGCAGGCTGCGTTTCAGGATAGAAAGCTCTCTACGGCACTGATGGATGTGTGCGTGAAGCTCGCGTATTGTGACATCCTTAGAGAGGTTTGGCGACGGGTTCAAGTCCACCTTGGACCCCGTCGATAGGTTCCTCATCGACCAGTCGCCAGGAGTGCGTATGCTCATCGGTCTATAGCCCCGATCAAAATGAGCGCCCAGCGCGAGGTCAATCCGACTGGCTGCTTACATGAAGAATCCAATCCTAGGCGACGGGGGTACCGTCCTCAGCCTGCGCTTTTTCTGCTCCCAAAGGCCGTTCAGCTGGTTCGCAGGCCTGGACGCGATCTCCTTCCCGAGCACGTCCGCCATCACCGCGCATACGACGTCGTTCAGCGTGACGTGCCCCGTCTTCGTGCGTGCCTTCTCGCGCTGTTCCTTCGGAACGCCAGCGACTGCGCTACCGGGCTTCGCGCCAGAGAACGCCTGCTGGCAAAGCTTGACGTCCTTGATGCTGAACACGCGCGAGCTGGCAAACTCCCGCTCCGTTACGCGCGGGCCCGGCTGGGGCCCTGTAAGCATGCCGACGCGCCAGCCTGAGCAGGCCCTAATGGGGGAGAGAGCAATCTGGTGCGCGGCTTGGTAGACACTCCAGAAGAGGCCGACGAACGTCGAGACAGCGTATACAAACCAGAACGCACAGGCCATGATGAGTTCGAGCAGTGGTGCGGTCCATGTATTCGTCGCCAGCAAGTCGAGCGGTCGGAGAGAGCGGTGGAGCTTGGAAGGTAGTACCTTTCCTCGCTTCGCCGCATGGAGGTAGTCCGCCGCCGAGTCCATCTTGCGTACCAACTCGTCGTGATACGAAGTGATGTGGAGCTGGCTGAAACCGAATCCTTGACCATCTGCGAGGGCGTGGTGACTACGGAGTGTTGGGACGGCTGCTGAGAAAAAATAGGGAATGGACACACCCTCTCATGATCAATGCACTCTCAGCGTCGGTCTCGTCCCTGTAGTTCTCAACAAGTATGGCCTCCCACAGCGGGTGCTTCAGGTCCCACTCTTGAGCAATGACCTTGCCCATCTGATACAGCATCTCAGCATCACTAGCAAGAAGAAACACAGACAATGGAGCAGAACCCACGAACCAAATCATTCAATTCGTGTTTCCCGGCCGGTTCCGGGAGACTGACGGCGTGAATGTGATTCTTGAGGTTGAAATCTGGGTCCTCTTCAAAGCGGGCGCCGTGAAATCTTCTGAGTACAGACGTTACCCGTTGCTTGTACTTCGGGAACTTCTCGGACTGGCGTTGCGCTGCCTGTATGATGCATCAGGGAAAGCAGTTTTGTATAAACGAGCGGACGCACTGAGTATAAGTCCTCCAACGTCAACCTTCCCTTCAGGGTGTATGCCGAAGTGCACACCTATCATGCGCAATGAGTAGACACGACGCGATAGACTAGAACGATGCGCTTACAGGGTTGAAGTCGGTAACGTCAGCCAAGAGGAACCACAGGTTGTCCATCCCGCCAATCGATTGCCGTCGCTCTTGAAAGTCTCTGCAGAACCAGTTGACACCCAGAAGTATTGTCTTCATTACCCGTCCTGTGAAGCCATCGGAGTCACGCCGGAGGCCAAGGAGAGACCACTGCGCCTTGTGCTCTACATTCAAAGCACGACCATTAGTGCCGACACCAAAACTGCCAGGAATCCTGAGACAACGGTCTTCGACCATCTTGGGACTTGTGGGATCGTACAGCGAGGGAAGGGAGTGTAGAAACCTGACCTCGCACAACTCATATTTATGTTGAAGGAGAATGCGATTAGTATCAGGTCAAAGGACTCCCCAAGCATACCACCGTCCAGCTTTCCTCATGACCCTGTGGACCGCCCCGCGGACGCCCCAGGTCGGAGTGATGTGTGGCCATACTTGAAGCCACTGCGCTCGGAGGTCTGATCGACTCTGATGCGACATACGATGTCCTAAGTGGCGACCTCGCGCACGCAACAATTCGACGCGGTCGCACGACGCGGCGCAGTTCTCTGCGATCTGCGGATTGACAGACTGTAGTTGCATAGCTGTCGGCGACAACGCCCAGACTGGCAGAGTGGACGCTTATCAAATCAAAAACTCTGACGCCGTTAGTCGGACTCGACGCACGTTGAGCGGTACATACTGATGGCTCAGAGAAGCACTAAGATTCCTCGCAGACGTGTGAGATCGAGAATCATACGCACTGCTGAAGGAAAGTCAAGGGATTGACAAATGAACGGATCATACAAAAACAAGGAAGCAAGGCACAAGAGATCGACAGACGTTGTGCAACCCTAGAGCAACGTTTCATACAAGGTTCGATGCGCAGCGGCGGACACGTAGTGCACTTGCTGTAGCGTTCCCGGAGCCATTCGCAAGAGTGAGATCATGATGGTAATGTCTGTTCGAACCAGGATATTCGGCAGAGAAGTTGTCCTTCATGTACACAACCGCCGGGTGTCCCATCGTGTTCGAGCTGTTCTGTGAAACATAGTACTGTTCCGGGATCGTGCACACCATGTCTTGTCCAGGATTCAGGAGCCAGTACTTGTGCCTGTGCGCCATCAGCCAAGCGCAGCTATGACACCAAGCTGAGGTAAGCGGACTCACTGTTTGAAGAGCATGTAGAGAGCTGTTGCAAGGAGCGACCCGAGGCCGTCGCCAACCCAGTACTTGCATCGTAGTTAGCCACCCGTGGCAAATCCGCGTGGGTCTAGTATACACTCACCACCCAATGACCGCTATATGGGAATCCCGTGACGACGGCTGGTCCGAACGCCCGCGCAATGTTCATACCCGCACATGTGTAGTACACCCCCCAGCTAAAGACGAGGCGCACATCAGGGCAGAAACATGCACACAGTGAATCCTACTGACAGATGGCAGACGAAGCCAGTGAGGCCAATCCCGACCTTGAGAAATGAGAGGCTAGTCAATTGTCAGCATAACTCTTGTCGTTTGTAAAATCTCACTGGAGCAAAAGGCGTAGCAACATGCTTCTCTACCGCCAACATAAGTACGGACAATACCAGTGCCGCAGTGATGAACATCTCTATGAACACGCCCTGGGCAAGATTGACGCCATTTGCCAACACAGTGCTGAACACTTCATTAGGGACGGGTCACAAGCTACAATTAACACTCACTTCGACAGCAGCGGACCCGGTGTGAGCGCAAGAACGATAGCCGCAGCCGCGATACCCCCCGTGAGCTGAGCAAAACAGTAGAGAACGAAGCGCAAGGGGCCGATGACTCCGTTCAAGAAGAGAGCCAGGCTGATGTTAGGATTGAAAACGCCGCCGCTAGCCCGGTAGAAGATCCAGACAGAGATGAGTAGACTGAACCCCATGGATAGCGCGATGTATAGGTCGTGCAGAATCGCGGAGGGTGCGGAGGGGTCCATAGCCAGTTCTGCCTCCGCTGCCTGTATCCCCCCAAATGCCAAGAGCAAGAAGAAAGTCGTCCCCAAGAACTCGAGGATAGCAGCCTTGACATCGGCTTGCCAATTATCAAACAGCCTTTTGAACGAGAGTTTCGGTTGCGACATGATGTAGCAGTAGGTGGTTCGTCTGCTGAGCTCAGCGTTGGACAGAGTGAGGGCCGGGATGTTGAGGGTATACGGAGGTACAAGAGCCGTGCTTAAAGACTGGCAAGAATTGTGCCAACCTCATTTCTGTCTTGACTCGTAGTCGCGGCAGACGTATTAAAGCTGACCGAGCGGTGGGCGTGGTCAAGCCGCGACGGTGTCTGCACCTATTAAGATAGCGGACACCAGGAACAACCCCCCTTACGTAAGCGCTTATGTCATACATTCCCACCGCCAAATCTTGCCTTGGGAGCAAAACGAACATAGGCGCCCATGGACGAGCAGCAGGAGGAGGTCAAGGCTAGCGGGCGAAGCAATATTTCATTGACTAGTAGACACTGTACTAGCCGAATTATGCTTCTCTAAGAATTCCTTCTTCAACTTCGCAGCCATGCTTGCTGGTAAAGTCCGATGACCGTGATACTTGCGGTTTGTCCAGTATGCCTCGGCACCATCAAGGCCTTGCGAGTATGCTGATATAAAACGTGCAGAACGATTTGCATATCTAACAAGGTGTAGTCTCTTCAATGAAACAATACTATAGAATGCAAGACTACATACCGCACGATCTGTAGTCTTGAAACATCATCGAGGCAGGCCTTGACATTTTCCCTCATTTCATTGATGTCAGATGTCTTCGGGCTCTGTCGGTAACGGAGCTTCGCTGCACCCCAGTACTGTTCAATGAAGTTGAGCTCGGGATGGAACTTCGGATAGAAGTCACAGATGTGGCCCCGAGACTCTATGTACTCCTCTAGCTGTGACTTCTGCGACACAAAGTCTGGCTGAACAAACAAGAGTCGTCGGCAGCAGCAGTCAGTACGCCCCGACTCGCACTTGAATCCATCGCATTGGGCCTTCAGGCCACCATCTGGCCACAATCCACGTTCGCGGATGATGATCTCCATCCCTTTGAACCATCCTGGCATATTTGGATGATCGAGGGAGAAGTAGAAGTCCTGCGGCTCGCCGTTCGGGAGCAGGCCGAGACGCATGCGAGATCCGCCTTTCGGAAGCCATGTCGCAGAGGGGTTCTTGGGCATGTACCTCGCAGACAGTGCATCCGGTGCCCGTCTTTGGTGACTAGGCGCATTGTCGAATAGGAACAGCCCTGTTGCAAAGCCATTGGTCTTCTCTTCGAAAATATCGATCGCCGTGTCGACCTGTGCGAGGAGATCCTCTGCTGTGAAATAACCTTGCCGGTTTTTTCCAGCTTCAAATAGGACTCTTGCTTCCCTAAGGCGGAACGTGAGCATGTCTGATAACAGTAGATAGACGAACTCACTGGTCTCCGTGTTGTAATCGGCCCCACTCAATGGTCAAAAAGTCGGATACCATAAGCGATGATCCTTCACCCTTGCGGACAGGTTTTGCACGCTCTGACGCATGCGTCCACTTTGTTTTGCGACGATCGTGTGCGTAGAAGGTTGATTCATCTTGGGTGTTGCATATGAGGCGGAAAGGACGGCCACCAGGAATCGGGAATCCCTGAGGAATTCTCTCAACATTCCCGTTGTTGTCATAAATTACCATCCGCTTCTCGTACTCCGTCCAACGGTCAATAAACGCACGGCGATACTTGACCACATCCTCTCGCTCATGGCCATCGATGTACATTCCGTTTGCAAGCTTCTTGTATCGCCAGTCTAGTTTGTGCAGCCACCGCCGAGCCGTCCGTTCCGAAATCGACATCCTTCCACCAAGCTTGTCCTGCATGTCTTCGCTCGAGATGAAGTCGACAATATCCTGCGCACGGATGAAGCCCGTCTTTGCAATATTCATCAAATGGCCTTGTATGGTCTCGGAAAGGTCTTCGTCATCAAGGATGGACCTGTGAGGGCGGCAATATCGATGGAGGGGCAGCTGCGAGGTGTTGAGGTATTGGTGTAGCCATCGGCGCACGGTACGTCCATAGTCTGCACTACGCCCCGCAGCTTTTGCTGCAAGTGTCGACGACTCACGCCAGGTGAAGGTCAAGTCGGGATCGAGATAGAAGTTCAACGTGCCTAACATCGCTGTAACGCGGGCACGAAGAACAACATCGAGTTTTTTGTCTTTCACCTTCCAGGTGAGTCGCTGTTGCGCCGAACGTAACGCTGGGAAGTCCTTGTACGAGAGACTATTCAAGGCATTGTCGACCGCATTTTCAGGGTGTTGACTACCCAGTCGCAGGTCTTTCAGCATGTCCTCGACAGCACGGTGTGCTTCATGCGAAAAGCGTGGAGCTTGTATAGTACTCGGCGGTGCGTCCGACTCATTGACATTCTACCATTTATCAAACAACTTCCTCAGTGTCATTGTGCAACTCCGAGCAAATTCAGGGCTCACAGGTTGTGTCTGAGAGCTCGGGTGCTCATTTCCGACCTGGGTGTTTCCCAGCATGACTCCCTCGTGCTCATATGCGCTCGCAGAATGAACCACTGCCTGACTCGCCGCCGGGTGCACTGACTCGGATACTAGACTCGGAGCGGCAGCTACCAGTGCCTCGCTCCGAGTTTCTGTTTGGAACGTGCCCAGAGCAAGCCCGAGTCGGACGTGCTCATCTCGCTCCGAGTCGCAACTCGCACCGGCCTCAGGCGTGGACATCGCGTCAGGACTTCTCGGTGACGTAGCAATCATGGCGTCCGGATTGCACGCACTGAGGGCACTGACTGGTTCAGGCTCCGAGTCCGAGTCGCTTGCACTGGCAGCCACCGCAGCAGCAACTGGCATTGCGTCAGGGCCAACCGCCGTGCGTTCCGCGGCCGCCCCGTTTGATGGCGTGAACCATCGCTGAATCGAATGGTAGCCCTTCTTCGCAAGGCCTCGCCTCTCTGCCGCTCTCCTCTGCGTTGTCCGTTTCGAATTCCTGGTGTAGTGAGTCGGCCGCTTCTCGCCAGCTCGACGTTCTCGTTCCTTCCTGACAGCTGTGTCATGGGCTTGTTGCAGAACCCTGGCAAACTCGAGGAGAACTGCCTCCCTTTCGGACTCCTCTTCCTCATCCATTTCGATGTCACTGTCACAGCTGGCCTCGGACTCCGAGTCTGAGTCTGAGTCATTGGCTAGGTCCACTGGCACTGACTCGGGCATGGCGCACTCGTCAGTGTTCAGCGCCGGCGCGACTTCATGGAGAGGCTGCTCCGCATGACTGCTGCGAGATTCGCCGGGCTGCGAAGCACTCTCTGCGCATGCTTCGACGACTTCTCGTGAGAGTCGTCTCCGTTTTGTTGGTCGAACATTGCCAGATGAGGTCTCTTCGATGTTTCGACCACTGTGATGTTGTTTGCGTGCTGCGGCAAGGTTTCTCGTGCGAGCCTTCTTCGCTTTCGATGGTTTTCCCATGTGCGTGCGTCGATTTACGAGTCTATGACATGTACAGTTGCATTTGTTCGACTGCTTGGGTGAGCGCTTTATCGAGCGCTTAGACCACGTGACGCGCCAAACCGGCTGGGCGGTAAAATTCGAAACCATGCCAGTCGTCGTAGAATTCGGAAAGGAGTCGATAGACGACGAGAGCAATGTGTGAACAATATTTTGACAACCATCTCGAATTTCGTCAAGATACTGAATAGGACTCAAAGTTCGTGTACTCTAGACAAGTTCCTATTAGATAGATAGAAGAAAATGACATGTGCCCCGACGCTATACAGGACGGCGGCGGCGGTGGCGCGCTGCTTACATAAGGGGAGGTTGTTCCTGGTGTCCGCTATCTTACTAGCCAGTGGCAGCCACATTTGTTTACGCGCCCAAGATCATATCGCTACGAGACTCCTCACAGTAAGTAAGTAAGTAAGTAAGTAGGATATCCCCAGAAGTACAAAACCAGTCGTTGCAGCGACGACAAGAGGAGATCACTGTGTGCAGGCGCCGACGCGCTGTTGCTCGCGCGAGACGAGACATCAGAGTGTTGCTCGTTGACGTCAACTTGAACCATCCTGGGATGCAAGATCGACCTTTGTTACTATCCGTGCCATGCGTTAATTAAGCAAAGGAGACAAGAGAGCGAGAGACTGCTGAAGCAAGCTTCAAGTCACTGGCACACGCCAACGTTCACCACGCTTTGCCAGCGGCTTGCCCGTCCCTAGCCACAACGCCCGGATCGAACGCCCGCGCTCAGCGGAGGAGTGCATTAACAAATCCTACAGTATTGAGAAAGGCAGGTGTACGTGTATCATCCTATAACGTCCTCGCAATCGAACAATAAAACTAATGTAAGGAACGGATTTGGAACGCACCCTGAGGTATGTCTGTTTTAGTCCAGATGGTCCACGACCTCCCGCGCCCTTTTGACGTAGAGCTCAAACCGCTCCTCAAATCCCGCGCATATACGTTCCGCGACTCCAAGGCTCGACGATACTTTATCGGCAGCAACGGCTATGGAGAGTCCGCCGGCATACGAAATGATCCCCATCCCAATTGTGCCTATGATGTAACGATGAGAGCGTGGTCAACGAGCAAGGCAGTCACAAGGCTTACCTTTACCGCCTTGGGGAGGGAGTGCTGTCCATTTGAGCACCTCCGTGCCTTGCAAGGTGATCGTGCTGTTTGCAGGGCCGGGAACACTGGATGGAAGTGTGTAGTTAGCAGCTAGTCTGTGCTACGAGGTTCCGCGTCTTACTTTGTCAGAACAACGGGGACTGTACGGACGTGAGTACAGGTCGTCGGGCGGAGGCTATGCGGGGCTTACATGATTGCAATACCATGTTATATATCGGCCTCATCAGCCATTTGTTGAATAGCTCTTTGAGGTCCTTGGTCGGATTCGCCAGCAGGGAGAGATCCAACAGCGCAGGAACCTGTCCGGTCAACTGCAGGATATGGAAGCACAACGCCGGCAGGAGGCTGTGTTTAAGGATTGAGAGCTCTCCGCGGCACTGGTGGATGTGCGCGTGAAGCTCGTGCACTGTGACGTCGTCGGATACATTCGTCGACGGGTTCAAGTACACGATGGACCCCGTCGAGAGATTACGCATCGACCAGTCGCCGGGAGCGCGCGTGCTCATCGGTCTGCAACCTCGTCACAATCAGCATTCAGTGCGAGAGTAACCTTGCTCCTCACATAAAGAACCCGATAGGCGAAGGCAGCACCGTCCTCAACTTCCGCTTCATCCGCTCCCAGGGGCCGTTCAGCTGGTCTGCGGGCCTCGACGCGACCTCCTTCCCGAGCACGTCCGCCATTACCGCGCATACGACGTCATTCAGCGTGACGTGCCCCGCTTTCGCGCGCACCTTCTCCCGCTGCTCCTTCGGAACGCCAGCGACCGCGCTACCAGGCTTCGCGCCAGAGAACGCCTGCTGGCAGAGCTTGACATCCTTTATGCTGAACACGCGCGAGCTCGCGAACTCCCGCTCGGCCACGCGCGGGCCTGGCTGTGGCCCCGTGAGCATGTCGACGCGCCAGCAGGTGAGGAGGAAAAGGGCGGTTTGATGGACGGCTTGGTAGACGCTCCAGAAGAGACCGACGAACGTCGAGACGGCGTATACAGACCAGAACGCACAGGCCATCATGAGTTCGAGCAGCGGTGCGGTATACGGACTCGTCGCCAGCGAGTCGAGCGGTCGAAGAGAGCGGTGAAGCTTAGAAGGTAGCACCTTTCCTCTCTTCGCTGCGTGGAGGTAGTCCGCCGTCGAGTGCATCTTTTGGACGAGCTCGTCGTGATACGACGTGATGTAGAGCTGGCTAATAACAAATCCCTGACCATCTGCGAGGGCGTGGTGGCTATTACGCGTCGGAAAACTTTAAGTGGCTGAGATGAGGAACAGACACACCCTCTCGTGAGCAACGCACTCTCAGCGCCGGTCTCGTCCCGGTAGTTCTCCACCAGCACCATCTCCCACAGCGGACGTTTCAGGTCCCAATCTTGAGCGATGAACTTGCCCATCTGATACAACAGTTTGACACGGAGACACTCAGCCAGTGGAGTAGAACTCACGGACCAAGTCGTTCAATTCGTGTTGCCCCGCTGGTTCTGGAAGAGCGACAGCATGTATATGATTCTTGAGATCAAAATCAGGGTCCTCTTCGAAGCGGGCGCCGTGGAACCGCCTGCACACAGAGGTTGCCCGTTGCTTGTATTTAGGGAACTTCTCTGACTGGCGGTGTGCTGCCTGTGTGATGCAGTCGGGAAAGTCACTTTCGGATGATCAAGAAGGAGCAAACGCACCTTGTATAACTCCTCTAACGTCAACTTCCCCTTCAGAATGTACGTCGACGCGCACACCTGTTCTGTGTTAGAACTAAGCACGACCTGACGTAGACGGTGCACTCACCGGGTTGAAGTCGGCAGCCTCGGTCAAGAGGAACCACAAGTTGTCTATCCCTCCAATCGACTGTCGTCGCTCTTCAAGTTCGTTGTCGATCCAATCGCCAGCGGACAGCAACAACTTTGCGACCCACCCTGTGAGGCCACCGGTGCGTTCGAGGTCAGTGAGCGACCACTGCAGCTTGTGCTCCACGTTCAGCGCGTTGTTGCCGACATCAAAGCTGCCTGGCATTTTGAGAAGATCATCTTCGACCATCTGTGGCCTATGTGACCCGACAGGTGGTGAGGGCGCAAATATTAAATAGATCCCCTCGCGGCGCGGCAGTTGTAGTAGAGGAGCGTCATTGTGGCGTCGGGCCGTCGGCGTCTCTAAAAACTTACTGTAAGTAAGTTAGTAACTTACTTACCTGAGTTTCATTATCTGAAGTCGAATCGTCACTGCAGCAGATTGGCAGCAGATGGCCATTCTCTTTCTCCCACCGTCACGACCATCTATACTGACTTGCAAACGTTGCATCTCTCCGCTACTTCGTCTGCATTGTGTAGTCCTTGCGGACAGGTGAGCTGGGCTTGAGGGCCTATGGCGAATGGACTAATTGACCGTGCTCACACATGAATAGACCAGTTGACTGCGACGACCACGGGGAGGTCCTCCATGTTGAAATGGGACGTCCTCGATATCGTTCTGTCATTCGCAAACCCATATGAGGCCCTCCAATTCTCCATGACCTGCCGCGACGGCCACAATCTAGCGGTACCCCATTTCTTAGAAGAAATCGAATTCCCGCTTCCCTGGCTACGCTTACCGGGCGCAAAACGCTCGTCATTGGCTTATCCTGAGCTCTTCGAGGGCTTCCGCGCTTACATGCTCGACTCACCGTATGCGTCCGATCGCCTCCGAAAGCTCAAGGCTCTTACCCTCGGAGACGATGCTTTTTGCGTCGAACGGGGCGAACGAGGCGAACGAGGCTCAGATACCAAACCGCCAACGTACACCTTCAGTCTTGCAGCACCGCTCGCGGACATCATTCGAGGTGCAGTGGAACTACGCAAGATCTCCATTTGCTGCGCAGAAGATATCTTTGATGATGTGCCGCAGCTCGTAGATGCTATAGCAAGCCTCCCCCGTCTCCAGGAGGTCTGTTTCTGGGACGCCGACGTGTCGACGCTCGGCGTTCTCTCCAGAATGCACAGTCGCCCCAGGAAAGTCGAACTCCGCGTCGTCGAAGATAACGATCGAGAGACGGAGTGGGGCGATCACGCCTTTGGGGATGACCGCTTTCTAAGCAACCTCACTGAATCCCTGGAGGTTCTGAGTCTCCATGGAGGCTTGAACATCATAGAGGAGCTTGAACCACACACAGTTTGGCCTGCTGTTCGTGAACTCGAACTCGTTCGTGGTGATTCAGTCAATTTACAAGCCATGGCCCGCGCTTTCCCCAACCTACGCTGTCTGTGCATCGAAGTGGAATCTTCCGCTGACATGCTGCCCATCAGTCAATGGCAAAAGCTCGACTTTGTCTCCTCGGGGTGTCCTCTCCCTCTGCAACATCCGGTTCGACACTTGGATATGGGTTGGGATTTTCGCCCAGGCATGTTTAGTATGCTACCCGGTATGACCGGCCCACCCCGCTGGGGACCTACCACCGTTATGCTGCAATGCACCTTGCCTGTCGTATTAGGGTGCAGGGCTGATCCGAGCACGTATGCGATCATAGCTCGTCATGCGCCCTCAATTCGCTGCATGAGAGTCGCTATAGCACCTAGTTAGCGTTGGAGCCATCGCGAGAATGACAGGAGCTTGACCGAGGAGGACGCTGGGGCCTTGTTAGTGAGTATTGGGACTTTATCTAAGTATCACATCCGGTGACCGTGAAGTGTGAGCAGACCGAAGAGTTCTCGCTTCTCCGAGCTCTGCCCCTCCAAGGGATCGCTATCGTACTCTGTGGGCATATACCGTGGTGCGAGGCCTCCCACTGGGAACAGTATGCTCGTGTCATTGGCGCCTGTCTTCCTACATTGAAGTATATTGGCTTGCGCCGGGAGGCTGATGCTGAAGAGTATTACGATCAATGGGATCGGCGGGAGCCGTACCAGTGGTTTCAGGTTGCTGGGCGCGAAGAGCAGTCGGAGGTGGATGTAGAGACTCTGTCGGACGAGGAAGGAGGTCGCGTCCAGTCTGGACTCTTCAGCATGGCCAGAGATGGCTGAGATTCGTGTTCAGCCGCAAGTATCCTTAGTCGTACGTGTTTTTTTCTATTTGCTAGTCAACGCTTCATAGTGACTGCTTGAATATTAGCACTTATCGCAGCATCTGGATCATGCAATAGACTAGGTAAATGTGCTCGGCACTCTGGTCACGATAGTCCGTATACGGTGAACGCCTGTACTTACCAGTTGCGGGCTCTCCGGACTGCATAATCGACGACAGCAATTATCCCGGTATATGGTGCTAAATCTTCGCTCGTGTCCGTGTGCATTAGCGGAGGAAAGAGACGGCGAAAGGCCGGTAAAGCTGGTCTCCGTAGCAGCCTTACAGGCCGGTAAGCGTCTTCTAAGGCATGCTTGTGAATCGAGCGTAAACGTTCAGCACGCCTTGCCTGGCCCGAAGACGGGCCCTGAGACTGCCTACCGTCAAAGAAATGTTCGACATGACCCGGATCGAATTCTTACGCACACAGAGGTTTCATCGGAGGCATGACTTCCATTAACAACTTATTCTACGGTAGAGGCAACTTGACATGTATCATCTTGTAACGTCCTCGCATTACTAGTAGATAGTTGAGCAGAAGCATGACCAGAACAGTAACGCATATAAAGAGATCTCTATCGAGCTCTTCAGTCCAGATGGTCCAGGATCTCCCGCGCCCTTTGTACGTAGAGCTCAAACCGCTCCTCAAAACCCGTACATATCCGTTCCGCGACACCGAGGCTGGACGGCACTTTATCGGCAGCGACAACGATGGAGAGTCCGCCGGCGTACGAGATGATCCCCATTCCAATTGTGCCTGTATGATGTCACGGTGAGGGCGTATTCAACGAGTAAGGCAGTCCAGGGAGGTTTACCTTTACCGAATTGAGGAGGGAGGGCTGTCCAGTTAAGCACTTCCGAGCCTTCCAAGGTGATTGTGCTTTGCGCCGGGCCAGGAATGCTGGACGCACCCGCGTTGTTAGCAGCTGGCTTGCGTACGAGGACTGTACCTTACTTTGTCAGGGAAACGAGGACTACACGAACGTGAGTACTAGTAACACAGTAGAGGCGATCCAGGGCTCACATGACTGCAATAGCAGATCACATATCGGCTTCACCAGCCATTGATTACATAACTCTTTGAGTTTCGGGATCGATTCCGCCAGCAGGGATGGGTTGACCAGGGCAGGAAACTGGCCCGTCAACTGCAGGATATGGAAGCACAGCATCGGAAGCAGGCTGCGTTTGAGGATGGAGAGCTCTCTGCGGCATTGGTGGATGTGCGTGTGAAGCTCGTGCACTGTGACATCGTCGGATACATTCGTCGACGGATTCAAGTACGCGATGCATCCCGTCGACAGGTTCCTCATCGACCAGTCATCGGGAGTCCGTTCGCTGATCGGTCTGCAACCTCGTCACAATCAGCATGCAGCATGAGATCGAGTCAATCTGGCTCCTCACATGAAGAAACCGATAGGCGAAGGCAGCACCGTCCTCAACTTCCGCTTCATCCACCCCCAGGGGCCGTTCAGCTGATCCGCGGGCCTGGACGCAATCTCCTTCCCGAGTACGTCCGCCATCACCGCGCATACGACGTCGTTCAGCGTGACGTGCCCCGTCTTTGCGCGCGCCTTCCCGCGCTGCTCCTTCGGAAGGCCAGCGACCGCGCGACCAGGCTTCGCGCCAGAAAACGCTTGCTGGCAGAGCTTGATGTCCTTGATGCTGAACACGCGCGAGCTGGCAAACTCCCGCTCCGTCACGCGCGGGCCCGGCTGGGGCCCTGTGAGCCTGTCGACGCGCCAGCAGGTAAGGGGGAAGAGAGCGGCCAAGTGTACAGCTTGGTAGACACTCCAGAAGAGGCCGACAAACGTCAAGACGACGTATACAAACCAGAACATGCAGGCCATGACGAGTTTGAGCGGCGATGCGGTATATGGATTCGTCGCCAGCGTGTCGAGCGGCCGGAGAGAGTGGTAGAGCTCGGAAGGTAACACCTTTCCTCGCTTCGCCGCATGGAGGTAGTGCGCCGTCGAGTCCATCTTGTGTACGAGCTCGTCGCGGTACGAAGTGATGTATAGCTGGCTGATAGCAAAGCCTTGACCATCTGCGAGGGCGTGGTGACTATAGAGCGTTGGAACAGCGAGTACTCAGATACAGACACAGAGTAAACCCACCCTCTCATGATCAATGCACTCTCAGCGCCGGTCTCGTCCCTGTAGTTCTGAACAAGGATGGCCTCCCACAGCGGGTGCTTCAGGTCCCACTCTTGAGCAATGACCTTGCCCATCTGGTACAGCATCTAAGCATCACTAGCAAGAAGAAATACAGACAATGGAGCAGAACCCACGAACCAAATCATTCAATTCGTGTTTCCCGGCAGGTTCCGGGAGACTGACGGCGTGAATGTGGTTCTTGAGGTTGAAATCTGGGTCCTCTTCAAAGCGGGCGCCGTGAAATCTTCTGAGTACAGACGTTACCCGTTGCTTGTACTTCGGGAACCTTTCGGACTGGCGCTGCGCTGCCTGTATGATACGTCATGGACAGTAGTTTTGCATAAACGAGCGGACGCACTGAGTATAAGTCCTCCAACGTCAACCTTCCCTTCAGGGTGTATGCCGAAGTGCACACCTATTTTGCGTAATGAGTAGACACGACGCGACAGTTCAAAACGGTGCGCTTACAGGGTTGAAGTCGGTAACATCAGCCAAGAGGAACCACAAATTGTCCCCCCCAGCGATTGATTGCCGTCGTTCTTGAAAATCTCTGTATATCCAGTTCACAGCCAGACATATGATATTTATTACCCATCCTGTGACGCCACCGGAGTATCCGAGGTCAGTGAGTAACCACTGCCGTTTGCGCTCTACGCTCAAAGCACGACCATTGATGACGACATCAAAACTGCCAGGCGTCTTGAAACAACGGCCTTCAACCATCTTGGGATCTGTGGGATCGTACAGCGAGGGAAGAGAAGTGTAGAAAGTCTGACTGCGAACCACTCGTATTTATGTTGGAGCAGGGTGGCCATAAGGTTAAAGGGATCCTCAAGCATGCCACCGTCCGAGCTGCATGCTCCTACGGACGGCCCCACGGACGTCCCAGGTCGGAGTGATGTGTGGCCATGCAAGCCACTGCGCTCGGAGGTCAGATCGACTTCAGTGCGACATATGATGACCTAAGCAGTGACCTCGCGCACGCAACAATTCGACGCGGTTGCACGACGCGGCGTAGCTTTCTGCGATGGGCTCCTGCGGATTGATAGACACCGATAAGACTTGAGCTGCCAGCATGTGTGGTTCAGGTCAGGCCGTTGTGTTGCAGTTGCAAAACTGTCGCGGATGACGTCCGGATAGAGAGGATGCTAATCAAATCAAACTCTGGTGCCGTTAGTCGGGCTCGACGCACGAATGGGCGATACATACAGACGAATCCGAAAAGCTCTGGTTGCCTTCGCAGACATGTGACACCAATGACCAGACGTACTGCCGAAGAAAGTCAAGGAAATGACATCATGATATGAACGGATCATAGAAACAAGAGACCGACAGACGGGTGAAATTCTAGAGCCACGTCACAGACAAGATCTGATACGCAGTGGTGGACGCGTAGCGCAGTTACTGTAGCATTCCCAGAGACATCAGCAGGCCCGAGATGGTCCTCAGGCTGTCCATTCGAACCGAGGCCATCGCCAATCCAGTACTTGCGTCGTAGTTGGCCCTCCGTGCCGCGCGAGTTTATAGACTTACCACCCGCTGACTGCTGTATGGAATCCCGTGACGTCGGCTGATCCGAACGCTCACGCCGCAATGTTCATACCCGCACATGTGTTAGCTAGAAATGAGGCGCATGTCAGGGCAGAAACATAAGCGCAATGCATACTACTCACATTTGGCAGACGAAGGATGTGAGGCCTTGAGAAATAACGGGACAGTCAACTATCAGCACGACTATCGGATCGCTCATCAATCCGAGTCTCACCGGTGCGCAAGAGATAGCAGGATGCTTCTCTGCGTTGTGCAGGATCGCGGAGGGTGCGGACGGACTCGTAGTATTACATTAGCCGATTCTGCCTCCGAGTGCGCCACTTGTGGCTCTTCAAGCTTCAAACGTCAAGACTCGAGCAAGAAGAAAGTCATCCCCAGGAACTCGAGGATAGCTGCCTTGACATCGGTTTGCCAGTTGTCGAACAGTCCTGTATGCTGAGCACAGCGTTTAGGAACAGATCGAGGACTAGTACTGTAACGGTGAGGCTATAGAGATGCCATACAGGAGCCACGTTTTCAGGCTAGCGCATCAGGGATTGTGTCAGCCTCATCCCTGTCTGGAGTCATGGGCGGACGTACCAAGCTGACTGCTATAGTAGTCGTCCATGTGTCCGCGGCGACCGCGACCAAGCCGCCGATGGTAAAGTCCAAGATTCCACTGGCAAGTCCGCACGAGTCACTTTTGTCTAGACGCTCAAGATCATATCGCTACGAGACGCCACGTCGAAGTCACAGTCGAAGTATTGACCAGAATTGCCGCCCAAGTTGCAGAGTGCATCACCGAAACTACTGTTTCTACAAAATACGCTTCAGGCCGGGCCCACCGACCACAGCCCCATATCCGTGGCTCCTTCAGTACCCGCAGACAGCCACTGGCAGCAGCCCGGGCTCACCGGGAGTCCCACTGTCCACTATTGTCCCACAGCTTCTCTCTGAGTGCTGTACGGCCACGAGGATGAACCGCCGAGTGGTTCAGATGGGGATCAGTGGTATGCGCACCAAGGGGAGTCGCAAGGTCGCAAAGTAGTGAGATATCCTCAGCGAACTGAGATACCTTCCAACGCCGCCGCCAATAGAAGTGCAGAAGAGCCGTCATTTGACAGCACCCTGGTCTCCTCCATATCCCGCAGCAGTTTATCAATATACTCCCCCGCACCCGACAAATGCGCCACGCGAGCCGCAGCCGCATGGAGGCGCAAGTAGTCTGGAGACGGTAGGGGAAGCTTCTCGGGGTCCGGAGTCGTGAAAGTCATTGTCGGCGGTATTTCCCTCCGATACATCTCGTGTGTAGACTTGGGCGTGTATGTGTGCGGCGTGTTCTAAGCAACATCATTATTTGTGGACTCGTCGGCAGAGATATCAGTTGGTAGGTACTCACTGGCACAGTGCTTTCAAGCCACAATTTGAGCCTGTCAAAGAAGGAATGCTCATTGAGGCGGAGTGTCATCACGTTCTCCAGCCGATGAACGTTGGCGCCGTGGAGTTCATCGAGCACCCGAGTGTTTCCGAAGACAGCCCATACTGGAGCAGCATATTTGTGCTAAGAATAGGTGATTCGTAACCTCAGGCCAGCACAAAACTAAGAAGGCGTACATTCGCACCATCTTGATCAGTACCCGATGTCCCAACGTTTGCGGATCCAGAGAAGATGTGGGCTGCATGGGTGATCGTAATGGGAGCATTGGCTGGGAGGATATGGGGCTTCCGTTCGACAGAAAACATGTCAAATGCGCCAGTGAGCATGCATCGGTAACCATCCCGTATGAAGGCCTGGCGATCAGCGTAAGTGAGAAAGCGATGTTGTGAGCGGCGGTGAGTGTACACAAAACACCTTTTGTTTTGCTGTTGTATGATCTTGGGGCGCCGAGTCTTCCAGCAGATATTTTAGACTTTCATGCATGTCATCGAACGAGGGCCTTGAAGGGCGAGTTGATGGAGTTGAAGTGCGGCCTTTGACAGCTCGGACTGCAGCGCAGTATATACGTTTCACCATCTGCTCTCTACACCGAGTAGCACATAGGGGTACTCACAGCAATGGAGGTAATGATTGATGTATAGTGTCGCCAGACGTTCGAAATCATCGTCGTCACTACATGAGTTGATTTCGCGGGCAAGGAAGTCGCGACCTGTATCACTGGGGTTTTCGAGCATAGAGTAGCCCAGGATTCTCGCGCGTACATACAAGGGCGGTGGCGTCGCTAGTTGTATTGCCGACCTGTTCATACTAATGGAGGCATTTGGCATACGCGTCCTGCCATGGCTGGAGTACGTAGGTGTTCACTGGTAAAGGTTGAGGCATTGGGTGTTGTAGGCGGAGTAGCGTGACTCATCTAGAGCAGTGCGCCGAACAGAACTCGCATTACTGAGTAAATAACAAGACAGCGGTCGGCGGCGGGCGCCACCGTCACGGTGAAGGCGTAGGAGGGACGCGTGACCGCGTCCGGACCTCACGCGCACGCCCAACGCACACCTCACCGGCACCATAAAGCTCAGGTATATACAGTATACCAGTCAACTCCGGCAATTTGCCTCTACATACTTGATTGATCTTATGATGAAGCTGAGAATTCAGCTCACAGTATTCGACTGACCGAGTACCACAGGCGGTCAGTATCAAAATGACAGTGATGTCGATGTCGGCAGGCATTTCAGCGTTGTCTACGTTCCTACCTTCCAGTCAACGCCGACCGGGTGTCATCTCATGACCTGAGATTATTGAACAAAAGTATGTTATCGCGAAGCTATTTAGTTGCGTCCGAAGCTCAGACCACAGGAGACAGTTGGGTGGTTTTCTGTCGTAAGTAATATGAGAAACGACAACTTCGTAGCACAATGGTATGACCTACGAATACAATGATGTCGACTCATCAACTGCGTTTAACCCTTTTTATCAGCTCGTGCATACAGGAGACAGACTCCGTTACGCACCGACACGAGCGCGCTTAGATCCACGCACGCGTTGCACACGCGGCCACCGGATCGCGACAAGGCGCGTTTTCGAGTCTTCGACCCAGCACTGCTACTAGACGTGTCCAGCCATATAGCTGATTTCTCTCAAGGACGATAACAGGTTTGTGGTCAGCGATGGAAGTAAGCCAACGTAGTCAGCCGATATGATGTGCTTGTGCTTACTGACGTATCTCAGGTGGTAACCTCTACTACCGAAAACGATTCGCCGCGAGACCTGGACGACGCCTTGGAGAATCTCTACGAGGCCCTTGGACGGCTTTCAAGCTTGGTAGGAAATGTGTTGGACGCTTGTCCTGCGAGGTGAGGAAAGGTGTTTGAATTCTACCTGATGGTATTTTGCTCATCATCGATGGTTCCTAGGACTAGCCAGGTGAGTATCGTAATGGCCCAGATTAGAGATCCCAGCATACAGAAAGTTCCTCGTACAGCTCAAGCAGTGGCAACATGTCTGGCATGAGCCGATCACGAGGCTCGATAAAGCGACGTCTGTGCTGAGGACGCTGCGAAATCATTTCTGCCTAGTGGCTGCTCTGCCGCCTGACATCTGACGCAGGATATTCTATCTCGGATTCGTCTCCCTGGACCAAGAGGCGTTGAGCTCCGATGTCCCCCAGGCTGCATCCAGGTACCGTTGCGCACGGATTTGCACGGTCTCTTCACCATCACCGCAGTATGTCACTATTGGCGCGATATCTGCGTTTCGACGCCCATGCTTTGGAGTCAACTTGCCAATGGCGCTCCCGGGCTCCAGAAGCTGGTTCTCAAACATCATCCCACTGTGCCTCTCACAATGTCTCTCACATGCGATGTCCTTCGCAACATGCAGATGCTTTCAGACATACCAAATCCGCGGTGCAAAGTACTGCATTGGGTCTCTTGCAGGCATCACACCATTGCTCAAAGCAGACAACTCCCTATCTCCGGTGCAGATCTTGAGACTCTCATACTAGGAGGGAACCCGACGTGCGCATGTCATACCCAACCCCTGCCTTTGAGGTCGTCTCAGGACACTACCTTGTTTGATGACGATACTCCCCGTCTACGCAGTGTGTCGTTGGTCGGCCTAACCTGGGTGCCGATGAACCGTTTTTCGACCCTCACCCAACTCCTGATAGGCCGTTGTGTCTGGCGCCACCCCGTCGCTTCTATACTCGACCTGCTTCGGGACACCCCTCATTTGGTGGACCTCGTACTCTCGAACATGTTCCAAAGACCACGAGACGAACCTAACATCCCTGAGGTGGCAGGAAAGGTCCGTTTGCGTAGTCTCCGACGGCTCGCGCTGCGCAACATCGGAGACCGGAGTATCGCTTTGATACTTTCCAAGTTGGACATGGCATCGCAGTCCGTCACTGTCATCGGCCATTGGATCCCCCGCCACTCCTTTGGTAATATGGGGCGGGAATTACCTGAAGGCCTCTCTAGGCTTACGTGTATGCGACCCATTGGCATGCATCTCAGAATCTTGCCAACCTCCCGAGAGGACCAGATCCACGGTCAAGGCCATCTCACTCTGTCTATTGCCGCCGTCAACGAGCACGCCGGCGTACTTCTCAAGGACAAAGTCGTCCGCCCGAATCGTCTAAGATACGACTTCCCTGCCAGTGTTTTCCAACTCTCGCATCTGCACGATTTATGGTGCCTGGATACGCGGCACTGTCCCAGGAAGGATCCATGGCCCTCACGACTGTGGTCTTCCTTATTGCCGGAGTTGACAGCCATGGAGAACCTCACGATTTTTGATTCCAGTCTTCCTCACATCGTCCAATCGCTCAATACCCCTGAGTCCATGCTCATGCGAGGGTGGTCGTTATGCCCTCGCTTGACGAGAATCACCGTCCTCGTGTCGCGCAGGTACCTGCCAATCAACGAGGTGATGTCGAAGCTCGCCATGATACGAGAGCGGATACGGTTCTCGCACATCACCATTGGATATCTCCCGGATTACACGGGAACAAGGCTATCTCGAAGCGATCGAGACCGCCTTGACGAATCTTATGAGTGCCTCGATCTCGACGGGGTCCCTCCTGTGTCGCCTCCATGGCCCGACCAGTCCCAACTCCCAGATATGCCCGCCGCATATTGGCCATCGTTCGAGCGGTGGTCCAGTTGCATGGCACCCGACGACTCCTACTGATTTGGCCCAATCAGGACGTACATAGGCGAGAGCCGTCAGTCGCAGTTTGCTGTAATCGGACACTCTGGCTCAACATCAGCGTGCGCAGTATAGTGCTCTCACAACCTATGCGTTCACAATTCTATCATTGGTGGGTATGGTGGGTATCCGTTGATACAAGACAAATCACTATGTATGACATCAATAAAAATACAAATAGAATGAACTCCGAGATGAATGACAGGTTTGAGACGTGTTCGTTATTCATAAGTAGGTTATTCCAAGGAGCACGAGTCCAGTGGCTGCAGCGAGGGCAAGAGAGGTCCATGCTTTTGGACTGAGCGCGGACGTGAAGGCGCTGCTCGCAAGGGACGGGAGACCGGAGTGTGTCGCTTGCGGGACGCCATTGACCGCAGTGCGTGACGATATCGCTGTCCCAGTCGGCGCAGGTTCGGCCACCGCTAGTCAAGGGCAAAGTGTCACTATATGCTTTTGCTCGTCATATCCAATCCGTCACGCACTAGGGAATTGGCCGCCGGAAGCGAGCACGTTTTGAATAGCTTGCTGCAGCTGGTTCGCGACATCAGAAGGGACTGTCGATAGCAGCCCGACTTTGGGAGGGTCCTGAGATGGGTTCGTGATGTTTCCATAATAGTATGCGACTAGCGCACTGAAACGAAAGCGAATCAAAACTCATGTGAGCGATCATCACCAACGACGAAAAGACTCAGTACTTACGACTTCAAGAACGGGTCGCCCAGGCTCCAGCTGTACAAGAAGCCGCCTTGGCCGGGAGGATCAGTGACTGCAAGGGCGGGAGTGCATCGCGGGGAGTCTGAGCCAGAGTCGTTCTGCAGTGGGTGCGCGAAGTCTCGAGGGTCGACAGTAAACATAGCGCCACCGATCTGAAAGGTCAAGTTGTGCGCTTCCTTGCAGTCAAACGAGGCGTCAGGACCGTCGAAGTATGCCATGATATGGTCGACGACGTCCCGTGGACCGCGTATGAGAGAGTTGCCCTGTATATTCATCCAATCAGATGTATGTGTCCATGGCGGTGCGAACAATACTAACAGTGTCGACAAGGGCAGAGAGCGAAACCGCCGGCGAGGCCAACATGGACCTAGGTAACTTGACGCCATCGAAGTAGACATCGTCCACCGCGACCTCCCATACCAAAGGATACACCTGGAGGAGATGAGTTTATGACGCTTGAACCGCAAGTTGTATGCTCACCTCGTTCGGAGAGTTAGATGGTGGCGGCAGGCCTCCTTCGTCTTTGCTGTAGCCGCGCACCGGGACCCAAGTCAATTGAGAGGTTTCAAGACCTGCGGGTAAGCCGCCGATGGAGAGCATGCCCGCGTTTCCGCCGATCTGGAATGAGTCACGTTGTAGTGTTGTCGCCACAAGAGGGAGATCCAGGATATCTTGTTGAATGAGCCTAGTGAGAAGGGGCCCATAACGCGCAAAGGAGGAGATGGCGATGTCAGCGGGGGATTGTGAGGTCCCGTCAGATGCCTGACGCTTCTTCAACAGAGCTGGCTTGAGGAATTCGAAGGAAGGGAAGGGTGGCTGGCCGATGGATCCGGTGGATATGTTCGCCGATGGTCCAGGGATTCCACGCTTGGACAGCGAGCTCTGACTGCTGACTAGGTCCATTTGAAGCCGCTCGCGCCACATCAAACTGTGTTTCAATAGTCACAAAACAGGATTTATGACAGAACGCTTGTGACAACCAGACCTGATAGGTGGGAACCCAAGGCCCAAAATTCCAGCCGATCCGGTTGCGAAGATAGTCGTGTTCGTGCTATTGACTGCGGCGAACGTTTGACTTGCTACGGATAGACTCCCGATGCCGACGGTCTCCTGGCCTATGGGTCCAGATGCGTATGTTCCGGTGCGGGAATCGCCATACAGCAAGAGGACATCAAGACCCGTATCGTTCAGTGATGCAATCGAGTAGAGGGGTACCACACTATCCGTACATTCACCGGAGCATGCGTCAGATACAACCCATAGATCGGATGAACCCGTATCTAGGATATAATTGAGTGAGGATCGGGCTGCCGGGTCCATAAAGACACGTACCCAAAACAAGAGTAGTCTCTGTATCTCCCATAGTGACGGACACAGTGTAGGTTCTTAGTGAGGGATGTTCAGGAGTCAGACAGACAGACATAGCAGTAAGAAGCTTACACGTCCATGAAATCACCTAAACCAGCAGCGCTCATCATCGACGATCGTTTGTGTGACAACGAAGTCACTGTCCGGTACATTGGTAGGTGAATCCCACCATTCTGTTGCGCCGCGACTTGAGAGCCAGAAATGACAGCGAGACCAAGTACAAGGCCGATCATGTTGAACAGGGACATACGCAAGCGTTCACGTCTCGAGGTCCGCATGTCGACCACAGACAGAGGCTCGGAAGTGGAGGTAGGGTAGAGAATGTGCGCCGCACGGCGCTGCTCGAGACGGTCAAGGGTAAGGAAGAAGCGGAGAGAAAACGAACATACGAGCCTGTTTTGGCAGTTGACACCTCGTCTTCACGATCACTGTGAAGGGTGGCCGTGTGATCGAGGCGGCCCTGCAGATGCATAGAGACCTCGAAGGAGAGCAGTCCAATCCTAGTAGATGCATTGTTTGTATTAGTACATCATCCCAGCGTCCGTGGTACAGAAGGTAGGGAGCGGACGAGGCTTCAGCCTCCGTGATCACAACAGACGCCTGGACACCACAAAATAACCATCTAGATACACCCAGGCGCGGAAATGTGCAAAGCATACGAGATACGATAAATAAAGCGTCAGTGCTAGTACAGAATCGAGCAACCGCACCGCTAGATGGCTTGCCCGTACATCGATTCACGCGAAGGCTGCTGCGAATGGTTCGGTGTCAAGTCGTCGTCTGGCGGCCGGTCATCGTATCCGTACGATGTATCGGGTGGCACATAGTATGCCGTCTGCTCAGCCGAATCCTGCCACTCGCCAGACGGTCCCCTCACATGCATCTCGAACGTCTCCGGTGTTCCCGGGCCGGCGGACGATGGTCGCATCAAGTGGGGCGGCTGCGAATATGTGGACACGAGGTCTGAGTTGACAGTCGACATCGGAGGTGTGCGGGCATATTGCGTCGCGGGAGGTATTGGTGAAGGAGCGGGGATGTCTGAAGCTGAATAGTACGACAAACGTGTCTCGTCAAGGACGCCATGATAATAGGGTCTGCGAGGGGAAGAGCCCAAGAGGTCTTCGCGCTGAGTGTTTTCATGGAAAGCCTCGTGAGTGGCCGCTCGTCCCATGAGACTCGCGGACGGCGGTGGTGAGATACTGTCCCCGCTGCCCTCGTCCTGTGAGGGTAGCGTCCTGTCAATGTTGACGTGCGAGGCCTCTGACTCGGAGCGATAGTGCGGCTGTTGGAACATCGGCGCCTTCTCAGAGTCATATCTTGGATTATGCTTTCTGTGTCGCCTGTGCTCGATGCCGAGCTGGTCCTTGAGATCGCCCATAACCCACATCTCGCGAACAATGTCTCTGTCCAGGGGCATGTAGGCACTCTTGATGTACTTGACGATGAACCGCGGCGCTGTATGTACTCTCAGCGAAAGACAACCTGTGTGGGCAAAGTACTCGCCTAATGCAACCACGACAGACATTATGATAGCCGCCCAGACTGTCACCTCCGAGAAAAGAACCACGACTTCGTCGTTGAAGTTAGGCGTGTTGAAGAACGAATACACCACGATCCACAGGACCATGACCATGGAGGACCCGATGACGACGATCCATGTGATAACGGTCCAACTGGCAAGTTCATCAGTGACGGAAGACGTGGTGCTAACAGTTTCACGTACTAACGAGTGTTCAGACCGACGTAGCTGTTCGCAGCAAAGATAGCGGCGACAGCGACCGTAGTACCCAGATCCGCCTGGGATTCGAACGTCCGGCCGTGATTCCAGGAAGCAGGCAGACCTAATGTCCATGCTAGGTAAGGAATGAAGAACACAACTACCGACTGGTACAGCCCATCGAGCATGTACATCCAGAACTTGGTGCGCGTGTACTCGAGCCCGCGAATGCCGCGGATATACAGCTGTGGGAATGCGAGCGCCGCCTTCGCATTAATGTCCTGGTCAAAGGCTGGAGGCAGTGTTAGTGGGTTTAGCGGTTTGCCGGCTAGAGCAACACTTACCGCCCATGACAATGACCGGCAATGACGTGAAGAGAAGGTTGCAAAGCAGAATAAAAGAGTACTGGTACAGATAAGTAGCGTCGAAACTGCCATCATGGTCAGTGTCCAGGAACATGAATGATGGAGAAGCCCACGCACTTATTGAAGATCATATACCAGAACAATGCAAAAGTCCAGATGACATTCTGGGCCAATGCGATCAGCATCACAAACATAGGTGCCATGTCACAAACAGTACCTTGTAGAAGAAATTGCTGTGCATGTCAGCAACGCGCTGGTATGACCACCTCCCGTGAACAACGAGGAGCTTGGTGAGGTAACGGAACTGAGCGAATGCGTAGTCTGCGGACATGGCAGCTTGCGAGCCCTCGTGGCCGAGTAAACCGCAACCGATATTCGCCTCCTGAATCATCGCGACGTCATTGGCACCGTCGCCTATAGACAAGGTCATGGCATCCCGACCGTCCTTGACCAGTTTCACGACGAGCGCCTTCTGTGCGGGTGAGACGCGACAGCAGACGACGGTCTCGCATTGCGTAGTGAGGTTAAGAAACATCCCTTGCATCGCCGGAGAGAGCGCATGACGCAGCGTGTCACCGTCAATGACGACCGCGAATGCCGATTGCGCTCCGGCTACGAAGCCTCGTTCCTGTTTGTTGTTGACGGAAGGCGGGCCGATCATCGACGCAATCTTGTTGATCCCAGCCTCGATCTGTGTTTGCGCTGCCACAGCATCCTCGGCCGAGAGGATCATGATCTCCATATCGTTCTTGAGCAGGTTGCAGCTGAAGCCTGGAGAGCGGACGTCAAAATAACTCCGGTACACACTGAGACGACTCACCGATCTCGATGGCGGTCTGGACCTTGTCGCCAGTGAGGATCCAGAGTTTGATCCCTGCCTGATGCAAAGTTTCGATGGCCTCTGGCACACCTGGAGCTTGTCTTCGAGCGCAGTCGCTCCGAGGATGGTCAACGAATGCTCGATCATCTCGTTCGCCTTGTCAATTTCAGCATCGCGGTCGGTGATGGCGCTCGTCGCCGCGTCATAGACACTTTGCCAGTGCAGATACTCTTCCTCGCTCAGGTTCCTATACGCAATACAGAGTGTCCGCAAGCCTCCGTTGGCGAATGCCTCCATGTCCTGCGACGT